GGTGAGTACAAATGATGCCGCAATGTCCACCTCAACACTGCTTCCATCAACTCAATGGGACGCTGTGGTCACAGGAGAACAGACCCCAGCGACTGCAATGGCAACGTCACTGATAAAACTCAAGCCTTGCACTATCCCATCCACACAAGCATATCCGACATTTTGGAACAGTGAAAGTGCTTATAAGAATTGCATGCACCAGCTCAACGTGCGCCGAATCCGAGAACACTAACCGCTATAGCAAGATTCAAAACAAACGTGCAAAGTTGATTAGGGAAAGTGAAGAAGACTGGGACTAAAGTGACTCAATACACGCATTCACCCTAACTACCTCATCCATCTTCACCTACCCTTCAACACTCATGCCTGCCCATCCACTACCTTCCACCCCCTTCCCTAACAACCTCAACATCCATCCACTCATCAAATGACGCAATCACCTTCCAGCAACATCCTCCCTCCGACACCCACCCACTCATGCCACCTTCCATATGGTCCACTTTTGACACCTCATTAAACTATACATCACTATCTCTTCAATTTCTCCTTCCCCTTCGCCAATCAATGTCACCTTCCCGAACCATCGGCCAAGGCCGCGGACAACTATTAAAGACTCTCCAGTAGTGAACCTCTCAAAAGTGTAACTGTGGCGACAAAGACTACGTACATCATTTCCACCCACCACAACCTAGGACCAGTTGCGTGAACACTCCACAAACCATTTCCTTCTCACTGGCGTAGATATGAAGGAGAAGAATAAAAACGAAGTCAAAAGCAAGGAATGACGACAGCATCAACAAATCAGACTACAACGATGTAACACCAGACGACAAGCAAAAGAGATGGAAATATCAGAAGTAAAAGACAAAAACGTACAAAATAGAGACCTTGACTGGTGCTTCAAAACCAAAAATGGTAAAGGAGAGAACGAGGGAGATGAATACCCTCCACCAACTAGCTATAGAAGACTGACCATCATCCCACAGAGCAGCACATCACCCTACCACCACCACCACCACCACCTCTCACAAACCAATGCGCAGTGTCTCGAAGCCACATCCGCTCCGATACCGACCAACTATCCCACCACCACAACACCTCACTAAAGGTGTTTCACAAAGCCAATACTACCACTAACTGTATCAACCACCGCCCACACTCCTCGACATCGCTAACACCACTCCACTCCATTCGCCTTTACGTTCCACGCCAAGTACCACCACATTACCAAAGCCTACCACATGCTTGCATTTAACGCAACGTACACACACGACACCATCAAGACACCCACTCCAAATACGATCCATATCAGTAATCACTCTCCTCCACCACCTCCCCACCTTTCCCACAACCCTCCCCAACATCACCCCGCACCACCCACCCACTCACCCACACACACACACACCTACACACCTCTCTTTTTATTCATGCCTTGGAAGGAAGCCACGACACATCACACTGCCACATAAACACCGCTTCCCCGACAACCCGCTGCCACGCCCCTCACCGTAGTCGTAGCACACCTCCTCACCCTCCCATATGCCTCGACGAGCAAATAATGCCAAAACTGGCAACAGCGAGTCAACCCGCACAGGAATCACAGTCAAGTTGGGGTCACAGGAATGGTTGATGAGACTGGACAGTGGCAGAGCGTCCAATCCATCACCCGCACCGTCCACAACTGTCTCAAACACCATCTCACCCGCTTCACCCGCATATTCTCGCACCACCAACACGTACACATGACCCACCGCCTCCGCCTGACTCGCGCAGATCCCACTCGCCTCATCCGGACTAATGTACACTCCGCGGTAGACACAAACAAACTCGCCACACCCAATCGGCCGCGCAGCACATGCACCAAGACCCTTGCAGCCCGCCTCAACCCGCCGAATCGCCCCAACGTCCTCCATGTGATGCTGAACTAGGCGGTTGGGACAGCAGTCAGGATTGCAGCTACAGCAGGAGTTGCATTCGTAGACTGGACGATGAGGAGGTGCCATTGTAGACTGCCGAAGAACTGCGCTCTCGCCATGGTAATTTACCTCGCCAGAACGACTCAGGCACGCGCATCGACGCGGATCAACGCACACACCAACGCAATCGCAGCCAGGCAGTTGAGAGAGTATGAGATCGGGCGAAAGGCTGTCACTGAAGAACATTTACACAACCACAAAGAGGAACCTAGGCAACAACAAAAACCCTCTATGACGC